TAATCCTTGTAGAGGACATTTTATCTCAGTGTGGTGTCATTGTCTTTGTCCCTGGCCCTACTGGTTGTGGAAGACAAAGTGATACAAAGATATCAGTAATAAATTGAAATTAACTATAGCTAAATGGCTATGATTAATAATTTGCCTCCCTAACACTTTTGGTTAATTTATATTTAACCAAAAGTTAAGTTTGTTGGTAAAGCTATTGGGGAAAGTCCTGGGAGTTTCTCAAGCAGCAAGTAACAAGGGAGAGTTAGTCACCTCTCTTCACTTGGGCCTGGAAAAGTCCTAAGGAGTTAAAATTTATATTAAGAACCTTCTCTCAGATAGTCAGAAGGGGGTACATTCTGCCTCTTTGTACACAGAATTTAGAATACAGTGGGAAGACTTAGATATGTGATTGGAAAGAGAGCATTGCTCAACTAAATGTGCACAGAGAGAAGGAATAGGCTGAGGAGCAGGAACTAAGGAAGATGGACTCTGAGGCAGAGCCACTACTTTGCACAGCTCCATTCTGTGTAAGTTGTACCCCTGAGGTGCAACTTTATAATTAGACTTGATCCATTGCAGAGAAGGGAACTTAGTGATCTTGAGGCAGGAAATGATGTTAACAGATTTTTGACAATGGCAGTGTAGAGTAAATGGGAAAGGGCGGGGAGGTAGGGGAGAGGGCACACATCAAAGTAGGAAGTGTGGAGAGGCATGACCAATGTCTGCAGTAACAATAGAGGATAATACCACAAAATGGCTGTAGATTGCTTGTACATGAAAGACAGCGATAAATTGAAAATGAAGCCAGAGTTTCTTATTTGGAAGGTTAGGATAGAATGACATTGTATGGAGTCATCGAAAATTCTGTCACTGAGTAGTTGTCTTTTCCATGTTTAGTTTAGATCCAGGTGGGGTAGGATTAGCATAAGGTGAGTGACAAAGCAGCAAGCGGAAGCTTAGGTCTTATGACCTCTAAAGGCTCCTGTATGTTTTGGAGTAAATGATTCTATGGCAAATTGAATAGAAGAGTTCAGGAATGGACAAGTCATCTTCATGTCTTACAGAGGCCTACAAATTTAACCCTAGGAGCCTGCCCTTTTGCTTCTCTGCCCAGTTTGATTTCCTGTCCCTCTTTGGGTTATCTGGTGAGATACCTCAGTTAGTCCTCTGACCCTCACTTCCCACACCCTTCTGTCTCTTGTCTGTCCATCTTAAGGCTTTATTTCTCCCTTTGTTCCCTTTGTTCCCTCTGTTCCCTCAATGCTTTGCATTCCATGTATTCACTTGTCAGCCCAAGAACAGATCAGCGCCAATAGCATCTATACACAACACGTGTTTTCACCTGTTCTTTGGTCATCAGTTCCCAGCCCCTGCCCCATGGGCTTCCCACCCACTATTGATGACTGTTGTTCCTCCAGCCAGTTGAGCTTATCTCTCTGCTAATGTCCTGTTTATTGATTTACAGCACAAACATTTTTTTCCTAAAGACAATGATAATGGGAGATCTCATCCTTTAAAAAATGGGTGTGAGTTGATTAGAGCATGGGCTTCCGGTACATCTCTTAATGCCCTAAACATTATGCTTTAGTCATCCCTTTGCAGCTTTGAATGTCCCAAGCTTTGCAAAGCCTAATTGACCCTACCTAGTTAGTACAGTTCATTAGGTCCATTTTAAATGACATGAATTTGCATTCATTTTACCAATTTGGTTCTGTTTTTATAAATTTATAAAAAATTAAAGGCGATCCTAGTATAAGGAACATCCTATATTATTATAAAGTCAGGAATTATATCTTGACCACATCTCTCCAAAATTCACACTGCAGTACACCTTGTGGAGCTCAGTGAATGCTTAATAACAATAATGATAGGGGAAATGAATATATACATATTTTGTTGTTCTTCCTAATTATTACCATTGTCTTCCCAGCACATCTCTATTGCAGGGGTAGGAATGCTCTTTCTCCTCTTTTCTCTGTGCAACACCATACACAGTAGGAACTCATTCAGTTGAGTTGATGTGTCCAGGGTCTGCCAAGCTGCTATATTTATTTACCCATTTTGTTATATATATTGACAATCTACCATCAATTCTGTTAAAATAGTATATATCTGATAATAAGCCTTTTCTTACTTTCCTTAGAATAATTTGAAGTTTGATGTTAATAGAACATAATTTCTCATTTATTCAGCAAATGTTTATTGAATATCCACTCTGTCAAGAGCTAAGTTCCACAGAAAGAATAAGACATGGTCTCTGTCTACGTGGAGCACATAGTCAACTAGTATAGCAATAAACTCGCTTGTTAATAAATAATAACACTATCATAGGATGGATGCATGAGTTGAGAGATGTTCAAAGTTCTGCAGCATCACATAGAAGAAACAACTTACTCTGGTTAGATCAGGAAAGACTGTCTGAGGAAGGGCTTTCTGACCTGGCTATTTAAGAGTGAGGATGAATTTTCCAGATAAAGCCAGGGACAGAGCCTTCCTGCAGAGCGTGAAAGAATGCAATATGTGTTGAGAGGTGTGATCGTGCTTGGCCAGAGAACAGAGCAACAGGAAGGGCATGTTGAGAGAATGGGGCTGCACAGTGGAGAAGGCCCTCCTGTGCATGCCTGTATGCCTACAGTGCTCGGCCAGGAGTTGGGCATTCATCCCACTACAGGAAGAACCCATGGAACATTTGTCAGCAGCTCTGTGGCCTAATCAGACCTATGTTTTCAGAAGAATGGAGGAGAGCTGAAGGCAGGAGAGGCCCTTCATTTGCCAGGCCCTGGTCTAGACTCCAGGGACAAAGCAGTGAGCTGTGCCCTCAAGTTGAGGGCAGTGGAAATTTTTTTAAAAAAAGAAAGAAAGGAAGGAAGGAGGTATCTTGTGTGTCAAATGTTGAGAGGTACAAGAGAAAAAAATAAGGCAAGGATAGGGATGGGGAGGAAGTACAATTTTAAATATAATCTGCAGGAAAGTCCAGGTGTCATTGAGAAGTTAACACTTGAGTAAAGACCTACCAAGATGAGGGAGTGAGCCAGGTGGATTTCGTGATAAGATTGTTCCAGGCAGAGGGGCACAGCAAGTACAGAAACACTGACATGGGGACATGCCAGGCAGGTTAGAGGAAGAGCGAGGCCGCCAGCATGACTGGCACAGGGAAGCAGCAGGAAATAGCCTGAAAGGTAACAAGCAGGAGGACCTTGTCAGCCACTGTACAGACTATGGCTTTACTCTGCTTGAAGTGAGAAGTGGTTTAAGGTTTTGAACAGGGGACCAGTAAAACCTGACTTAGGGTTTAAGAAGCTCCTCTGTCTGCTGCGTGGAGAAGAGACTGTGGAAGGCAAGATTAGATGTACAAGGTTATTGCAGCAGTCCAGGCAAGAGATGAATGGGACTTGTGCCAGGCAGGCTGAGAGAGAGAGAAAGAGAAAGGAGTCAAAAATGACTCCAGAAGATTTCGGTTGGCACAACTGGAAGAAAGAGTAAATGCACAGAGATGGAAGAGTACAGTGGGAACCAGTTTAGAGAAGAGCTGAGTTTGGGCTGTGTTAACTTTGAGAGGCATATTAGACACAGGATGTATGAGTCAGGATTTCAAAGAAGAGATACAGGATGAAAATAAAAGTGTGCAAGTTGACAACATGTAAGATAATCTCAAGCCTTGTGATTGGATGCGACCACCATGGGAATGAATGGAGCTGAGAGCAAAGATCTGAAGACAGATTCAGGGAGGTCTGGGAATTGCAGGAGAGCTACAGAGAAGCCTGAAGAGGAGGGGCCGGTGAAGTAGGAGGAACCAGGAGAGTGCATTGTCCTGGAAGCCATCCTCTGGGTGGGTTGATGCACGTGGGTCAGGTAAGATGAGGATAGAGGTTGATTATTGCATTTAGCAATGAGGGTGTCAGTGGAATAATATGGATGAAAGCCTTTGCAGAGTGGGTGTGAGAGAGAATGACTGGGAGTAATCTAGTCATCAGATAATAATGTCGGATTTATAGGAAATACACAGGATAGAGGAAAGAGGAAAAAGCCAACCACCACAGTAGGGAAGCACCAGAAAAATCTGGAAGGTTCTACATTCTGCAGGACAAATGGCTCTATTCTCAACAAATCATTAAAAAAGGACTATTCCAGATTGAAAAAGATTTAAGACATGCACAAGCCCTGGACTGGATGCTGGCATAGACAAACCCAAGACATTTTACAGTCTATTAGAGAAATTTTATTAAATGTTATGAAAATTCACAGAGATAGAAACTGGAGATTGTCAGATTTTAAAAAGCAAATTGTGTGATCTCATTCGATTTTTTTAAACACATGTTTAAAAATCTGGGAAGATAGATAACAATGGGATAGATAGTGGGAATGTAATTTTTAAAAAATTTTTGCTTGACCGTTTTCTGTAATGCAGCTACTGCTTTTGTAGTAAGTAATAAGATCGTGAAAAAATGGAAAGAAAAGAATTGGGAACAGCTTATGTTCACAGCTCTTTGTTGTGAAAGAGACCAGAGAAAAGTGTGTGTGTGTGGAAATTATTACTGTATGTTTGTATATTGATGGGGAAAATCCAATAGAGAGAGAAGGATGAATTGCTTGAAGCATGTCCCTGAGTGAATGAAAGGGAGTGGGATGTAGGGTGTGAGTTGACTTTAAAGCGAGGAGCAAGGACGATGTATCCACAGCAGTACAGGGAAGGCAGGAAACAAGGGCCAGGAAGTGTCAGGTGAGCCTGGCTTCCACCTATATAGTTCAGAATGGGGCATCTCCTGGATCTCCAACAGCTGAGCACTATATGTAGCATGAGGAAAGGAATTCCTCCAAATACCAACAGCCCAAATGGGCTGAAGTGGGCACTTTGCACCAGTGGGGTATAAGTGTCTGAAACTGGATCTGAAGGCTGCCTGATTTTTGAGGGGATTGCAGACTGGTAGGTTGATCAGCTGAATAGCTGTGGAAAGAGGATGAGCCTGTAGTTCACACACTGACTGCTGTCTTTGCTGTCTCCTCCCCAGCTCTGGCCATGGGTCTCTGTGTCGCCATGATCGCCTTTGTCCGCCTGCCGAGCCTCAAGGTCTCCTGCCTGCTTCTCTCAGGGCTTCTAATCTATGATGTCTTTTGGGTAAGTGTCTGTTTCCCTGGAAGCCCCTGCTCTCCTTTGTATTTAGTTGAAATATTAACTCCTGAAAACCGTTAGCTCTAAGTATCCTAAGCCTGGCTTGCCCGACCACTATCTAAGATCATTCCCTCCAGTCCTGAACTGTATGTGTTAAAAGGTGTGCAGGCAGCTGTCTGAACCTTTTGTCTGTTGGGATGTGATACAGTAGGTAAAGTGTGTGGCTCTCTCGGGGTGGGAGAGGTGGCAGGCACACAAGTTTCCCTGCCATGGGAGCACACCCAGTTCTATTGTAAGGGAGTCCTCCTTGGGTGTGGAGAGAAGTAAGTACACACAAAGAGCAAAGATTTTCTTTTTTCTCAAAGCATGCAAAGAAAACACTGATGTTGTAGTACTCTGGGACTCTGCTCTTAAAAACAAAAAGGGCTGATGCTGAAAGTGGGTTGCTTCCAGCTCCCTCTGTTAAAGGCATGTCTCCAACTCGGCAGGTATTTTTCTCAGCCTACATCTTCAATAGCAACGTCATGGTGAAGGTGGCCACGCAGCCGGCTGACAATCCCCTTGACGTTCTATCCCGGAAGCTCCACCTGGGGCCCAATGTTGGGCGTGATGTTCCTCGCCTGTCTTTACCTGGAAAACTGGTCTTCCCTAGGTAGGACTGGCCTCTCGGGCTTCATCCTGTGATGGTGATCACATGGCCTTCCTGTGCCTGTCTGTTCCTTGCCTTGATCAGTCTGTCTTTTGTTATCAACATTCTAATCCTAAACTGGAAAGGGTTGTGAGTCATCCTCTCCATTGTACAAATGAACTGAGGACAAGAACATTGACCTGACTTACTAAGATTTATCACTAAGTGGTACAGGTGCTGCTTTTTATTATTGCTTAATGTTATCAAACAACCATACCTTATTGCTGTTTCCACTTTTTAAAGTTGGTTGGAGGGAATTAATAGGAGAATCTGGATCTTTTTTACTTCTAAGGCATTTGTAAAAATATGTTCTAGTGGTAAAATTATATAGTATCTGGTAATCTTGGCAAAATTAAGGTGCTGCTTTAATCTTCTGTGTCTGGTAGTAGTCAGGTGCTTATTTGAAGTCTCAACAGTGAATGTGTCACAAATAATGAATTGCTTGACATTTCTGAGAGGAGCAATCACTTCAACAGTCCCCTACAAGGTGCTCTCCTAAACACTGACAGGCCAGGTCAGGGACCTCTATTGCAGTACTCTTGTGGCTTTTTTTTTTTTTTTTTTTTTTTTTTTTTTTTTTTTTTTTTTTCTTCCCCACGGGG